GCAAAAAGATATATATAAGAGCTATATCTAAATTTTGACCGATTATCTCCAATTTCAATAAGGTTCGTCCTTGGGCCAAACAAATAATTTGTGCAAAATTTCATCTGGATAGGGCAATAAATGCGAACTGTACTAAAATACATGGACAGGCGGACGGACAGACGGACGGACGGACATGCATAAATCGACTCAGAATGTGATTATATGCAGATCATAAAAAGTAACTATGGGTCTATCTCGTTTCCTTTTGCCTGTTACAAACAAATGCACAAAGACATAATACCCTGACCACCTTGTGGTGTAGGGTATAATTATAATGTGACTAAAGGAAAGTTTATAAAATCTTGCAATGAGAAATATATGGTCTGTTCCAGAAACTGCAAGATTCTGCTAGTTTGTCAATTTTTTTCGATATCATAAAAGGGAAAATCGGTTGTCGTAGTAAAAATGTTAACATTCTTGCAGTTCTGCAATAGACCAATATTTTTTGAAACTTGGAATTTTTTTTAGAATGCACCGATAATATTTAAAATTATTATTAACATGACTATTTATAAAAAACTTGATAATATGACAATGTTTATCAAATCTTGCAATGAGAGATATATTTTTTAAAATTTGCACCTTTTTTTTTTAGAATGCACCGATACTATTCAAAATCATAAATATGAGTACGTGAAAGCTTGTAAAATCTTGATTCCGCTGCAAGTTTTACCATATCACTGTTATGGTTTATCAGCAGTCTTATATTGTTCCAAAAGCTTAAAATTATAGCATGTGAATAAACTGATTACGACTAGTCATGCTGATAATGCAGAAATTCATCTATCGAGGTGGTAGTGACTTTTAAATATCTAAATGTGTGTCAGATATCGAGTCCCGATATCCATATGTGAGGTAAGATTTTTTATAAAAAAAATTCTAAGGCGGTTGAAAGTCAATTGACCAGATTTTCATCACAAATGAAACAAGCAGGAATCACTTGTGGCCATAATCTCTCAAGAGGGCTAAGGAGAAAAACAAAAACAATTTCATTAGATAGACTTATGTATAATTGGAACTATCGAATTCCGATTACCATTGAGAATGCAGGACTTTTTGATTGCAAATTTCGGCTACTTGGATAATCGAAAATATATAATTTTTTCATTTGGACTGATTATCGTTATTTCAGATCTCGTCTCTTTAAAAATATAGCTACACCAATAATCGTACCAATTGCTCTCTTGCAATGGCTCTTATTTAGAAACATAATCAAAGCTCTTACTGTTTCGGTCATTAAATACATCGATGCAACCATAAAACGCTAAAATTTTGGATAACTTATTTAATTTTCGGGACGATAGCTTAATTCGCTAGATTTTCTTGAAATCAGAAATTCTTTAAAAAGATTTGTAGCCAGGTGCACACAAATGCTGCTCCACAAAGTTTGTGTGAAATATTATTGGAATTTTCGATAAGATTTGATTGCCGTATTTGATCAAGTATTTTGTTTATTAATACTTTAAGATTACTATAACGTTTCAGGGGTAAAGTTAACTATTGCTTGGGAGCGTACACTACACTATGCAACAGTAGCATGTAGCTAAAACGGTGTACAGTAATTTATAAATTGATACCCAATATACCAGAGTTACGAGAAATCATAAAACCAAAATTTACACAAATGTTCGAAGCAAGTTTGAATATACAAGACAGTCTGGCGACGGATGTAAACCCTCACTAGGTGGTTTGATCTAAGTTCAGTTTATCAGAGATTTGCGTCTGGTACCAGAAGGACAATCTATATTCACAATATGTAATATGAACGCAAGTATATAGAGAGAAACAAGTTAAAAAGCAGTAAGTTCGGCAGGGCCGAACTTTGAATACCATCCACCTTTTGGAACAAATTTGGAAATTTTCAAAAAAAAAAAATCTTTAAAAAATTTTTGTTTAAATTTAAAAATACGGGATATAGGCATTTTATTGGGGTCTATACGATGTGGACCTACATAGGCATTGTTTGTCATAAGCCATTACCATATTCAAATTCGAACACTTGAAATAAACGGAGAATAATGTAAATAAAATCATCAATATATGGTATATAGGGAAGTACCGTTATATCGGATATTGTCTGTCTTAGGCTGTACTATACCTTTGGAACTTCAAATATTAAATTTGAAACAATTCCGGTTAATAATGTCGCTAACCATCAAAATACCGAATATCGGGAGGTACCGTTATATGGGGGCTATACGAAGACGTGGACCTACATGGCCAATTTACGAACTTAACCTGCCTACTGGAAAAATAAATATATGTGCAAAATTTTAGCCTTCTATCTCAATTCGTTCGAAAGATAGAGTGATTACAACAGACAGGCAGACGGAGAGACAGACAGACACACAGACAGACAGACGGACATAGCTAAATCGTCTTAGAATTTTATGCTGATCAAGAATATATATATAATTTGTTGGGTCTGACATGAGTATTTCGATAAATTACAAACGGAATGACAAAATAAATATACCCTCCATAGTATGGTGGAGGGTATAAAAATGAGATTTTCAAGCAAAATTGCGTAAAAGTGTCCAAAAATTTACCATTTTTTTTGGGGGGGGGAGTGGGGGTATTGCCGGCTAAGTCGATGATTTGTATTTCTGTTATTACTATTCCTACTGCTTATGCCCTACACCACACTATGGTCAGGGTATTATGCCTTTGTGCATTTGTTTGTAACAGAGAGAAGGAATCGAGGTAGATCCATAGTTCATTTTAATGATCTGCATAGAATCACATTTTGAGTCGATTTATGCATGTCCGACCGTCTGTCTGTCCATGTATTTTTGGAAACAAAGTACATTTATTGCCCGATCCAGATGATCGCAAGCCAAAAATACATGGACAGACAGTCGGACGGACATGCATAGATCGACTCAGAATGTGATTCTATGCAGATTATCAAAAGGAACTATGGGCCTATCTCCTTTTCTTTTGCCTGTTACTAACAAATGCACAAAGACCTGCTGGTGTAGGGTATAAATACTAATGGCCATATTTCTCTATCACGATTCGAAAAATAGTTCGAAATAAAAACACCCATGCCTTGGATATTTTCCATTTTTATACCCTCCACCAAAAAAGGTATGGAGGGTATATTAATCTCGTCATTTCGTTTGTAACTCATCGAAATAATCATTTTAGACCCAACAAAGTATATATATTCTTGATCAGCGTAAAATTCTAAGACGATTTAGCCCTGTCCGTCCGTCTGTCCGTCTGTTGTAATCACGCTACAGTCTAAACGAATTAAGATAGGAAGCTAAAATTTTGCACAGATCTCTCTTTTGTCTGCAGGCAGGTCAAGTTCGAAGATGGGCTATATCGGTCCACGATATCGTATAGCCCCCATATAACGGTACCCCCGATATTCGGTATTTTGATGATGTTAGCCACATTTTTCAATGGAATTGTCTGAAAATCCACACAAGTAGTTCCTTGTGGGTACTTTATACCTCGGCAGAGAATTATCTATATAGGTCCACAATATCGTACATCCCCCATATAACGGTACCCCCCGATATTCGGTATTTTGATGATTTTACCCACATTTTTCAACGGAATTGTTTGAAAATCCACACAAGGAGTTCCTTGTGGGTACTTTGTACCTCGGCAGAGAATTATCTATATAGGTCCACAATATCGTATAGCCCCCATGTAACGATACCCCCGATATTCGGTATTTTGATGATTTTACCCACATTTTTCAATGGAATTGTCTGAAATTCCACAAAAGGAGTCCCTTGTGGGCATTTTACCTTCTCAAAAAGAAGTGTCTATATAGGTCCACGATATCGTATATTCCCCATATAACGGTACCCCCGATATTCGGTATTTTGATGATTTTTCCCACATTTTTCAACGTAATTGTCTTAAAATCAACACAAGTAGTTCCTTGTGAGTACTTCACCCCCTGAGAGAGAATTGTCTATACAGGTCCACGATATCGTGTATCCCCCATATAACGGTACCTCCCGATATTGAGAGAATTGTCTATATAGGTCCACGATATCGTGTATCCCCCATATAACGGTACCTCCCGATATTCGATATTTTATGATTTGACCCACATTTTTCATCGGCAGATAATTATCTATATAGATCCACGATATCGTATAGCCCTCATATAACGGTACCTCCGATATTCGATATTTTTATGTTTTTAGCCATATTTTTCAACGGAATGGTCACAAGGGGTTCTTTGTACACAAGGGGTTCTTTGTGAGCACTTTGCCCCCCGAAAGAATTCTCTATATAGGTTAACGGTAACGTATAGCTCCCATATAACGGTACCCCGCGATATTCGGTATTTTGATGATTTTAGCCACATTTTCCAATCGTATTGTCTGAAAATCCACACACGGAATTCTTTGTGAGTACTTTACCCCTGAAACGGAATTGTCTATATAGGTCCACAATATCGTATAGCCCCCATATAACGGTACTCCCCTATATTCGATATTTTGATGATTTTAGCCACTTTTTCCAATGGAATTATCTGAAAATCCATACAAGGAGTTCCTTGTGGTACTTTACACGCAGACATAGATTTGTCTTTATAGGTCCACCATATCGTATATCCCCCCATATATCGGCACCTTCCTATATTAGATATTTTAAAGATTTTAAAAGAATTTTTATTGGATTTTATTTTTTTGAAAATTTTCTAATTCGTTCCAAATGGTGGAGGGTATTCAAAGTTCGGCCCGGCCGAACTTACTGCTTTTTTACTTGTTTCTATTTTCATTTAATTTGAAAAATACTCATATTTTTTCCTTTGAATTCTCATTCAAATCGCCATTTAGAAACAGGTCTTAAGTATTTTTGCCAAATAAAATGTGGCTAATAAAGTGTTTTAAATTATATTTGAAGAATGTATAATACATTTTTTTCTTTAATTTCCAATTGTGTTTCCGATTGTATTTTTTCCAATTGTATTTTTCTATTTTCAGAATCCTATGTTTACGATGATATGAATGAGGATTCGAAAAGATTTCAAAATTTATCACACGAAGATATTTACACCACAACCATTAAGGATTTCATAAGATTGGCGAAAAAATTACGCAAATTACAGGAGGAACTTAATCCTGGAGGAAATGAAATTTGGCCGTAAGTATAACTGATTCGAGTACAAACACAAATTGCATTAGAAAAAGAAAATTGAAGTTTTTGTAGAGGACAAAGGCAAAGGAAAAACCAGTAAAGAAAGTCCTAAAGTCGGGCGGGGCCGACTTTATGATACCCTACACCACTTTGCTAATTTAGTAGGGCTCGGCATAACAATTAAAAGTTTTTATGGGAGAATTCAATCATACATGCTAGGATTATAATTATGATTTAAAGTTCAATGGAATAAATATGCCGAAGCATTTGTATCTCCTAAAATTCGGACTTGTATTGCCCATTTGTACACAATTCATTTGAAATCGGATAAAAATATATGTGGGAGCTATATACAAATCTGAACAGATCTTGATAAAATTTGGCAAAGATATTTCTGAGCTGTATTTGATATATTTCCCTGAATATCGTCGTTACGGAGTGCATATTACGGCTGTGGGTAAAAAATACAACAAATCGGATGAACAATATATATGGGAGCTATAGCTATATCTGAACCTATCTTCACCAAATTTGACATACTATCTTCTAGACTCAATTCGGTCGTAAGTGCCAAATTTCATCCCATTTGTGCAACTATTAGACGTTTTATGCACAATAAAATGTAAGTCGGACGAAGTTATATATGGGAGATATATCCAAATCTGAACCGATTTCGATCAAATTTAGCAAACGTATTTCTGAGCTGCATTTGATATAATTCCCCAAATATTGTTGTTACAGACGGCTGCGGAGAACAAAAATAACAAATCGGATGAACAATATATATGGGAGCTATAGCTATATCTGAACCGATTTCGAATTCAAATTTGGCATACTTATTTTGAGGCATAATTTGGTTGTATATGCAAAATTCCATGCATTTCGCGCTAATATTAAACGTTTGGTGCACAATAAAAGGCAAATCGGACGAAGATATATATGGGAGCTATATCTAAATTATTACCGATAATCTCCAATTTCAATAGGGTTCGTCCTTGGGCCAAACAAATGTTGTTTGGAAAATTTCATCTCAATCGGATAATAAATACGACCTGCATTTTGTTCACAAGAATACATGGACAGACGGACGGACAGACGGACTGACATGCATAAATCAACTCAGAAAGTGATTCTATGGAGATCCTCAAAAGTAACTATGGGTCTATCTCGCTTCCTTCTCCATGTTACAAACAAATGCACAAAGACATAATACCCTTACCACTATGTGGAGTAGGGTATAATGACTCTATTTCTTTATTACACTCTCTCTCACTCTCTCTCTCTCTTTCTCTATATTACTTATTATTTAATAGGATACATTTCAAATCAAGTGTATGAGAAATATTTAAAGTTTTATAATTTATACTATATTCAACCAAACGAAAAAAATTCGGTAAAATTAAAATGGTCATAATTTAGGTGATTAACGAAATTTATCGGTAAGTTAGCGACGAATTTAAAGTAGTCGCTAAGACCTTCCGATAGATACCACTGTTGTCAACCTTAAATTATTTCTTAAATAAAATTTTTGGACTTTAAAGTTACCGATTTTTGTCGGTAACTCAAAAAATGAGTTAGAGAATCGCACTACTGATCTGGATCTGGTTAATTATGCACCAAGTGGCCAATACCAGTCAAAATCACATGGATTTTGACACATCCGATCGAATTCAGTCTAGAAGTATACATGTATATACATTTTGGTGCAAATCGGTTCAGATATAGCTATAGCTCCCATATACAGATACAACCCAGAAATACCTCTGCCAAATTTTATGAAGATTGGTTCAGATTTGGATATATATCTTCAACCGATTTCTAATTGTGCACCAAATGGCCATTTTCAGTCCAAATTGCCTGAATTTTGGCACATCCGACCTAATTCGGTCTAGAAGCAATTACATCAAATTTGGTGAAAATCGGCTCAGATATAGCTATAGCTCTAATATATATTTTATCCGATTTCGGGTTTAACACAACAATGGTTTTTGGAACCAGATATCTTATAGAGCTCGGAAATTACTTTTCCAAATTTTATCGAAATTGGCTCAGATATATCCTTATTGCGATTTCAGGTTTATTGTGCAAATAATGGCTAATACCAGGCCAAATGGAGTGAATTTCGTGCCAATTAGTGGAACTCGGCACCGATATATATTTTTTATACCCTCCACCAAAGTAATACCTCGAAATATACATTTTAGACCAAAGTATATATTCTTGATCAGCACAAAATTCTATGTCGATTTAGCGATGTCCGTCCGTCAGTGAAAATCGCTCTAGCTTCCGAACGAAATGAAGTAGGTTGATAAAATTTTACTCAATTGTGTATTATGTCTGCAGGACTTTTGGTATTGAAAATGGGCCATACAGGTCCACGTTTCGGTATAGCCCCCATACAACGGTACCTCCCGATATTCGGTATTTTGATGATTATAACGACATTATTCACCGGAATTGTTTCAAATTTGGTATTTGAAGTTGGTAATAAATACTACAGCCGAAGACAGAAAATTGCCTATGCAGGTCTACGTTTTCGTATAGCCCCCATATAACGGGGGGCTGATTTAAGCGTCATTATTCACCGGAATCATTTCAAATTTGGTATTTAAAGTTCGTAATGGATATTAGAGCCTATGAGAAAAAATTGTCTGCGCAGGTTCACGTCTTCGTACAGCCCTCACATAACGGTGCCTCCCGATATTCGGTATTTTTATGATTTTAACGACATTATTCACCGGAATCATTTCAAATTTGGTATTTGAAGTTGGCAATGAATACTACAGCCTAAGACAGAAAATTGTCTGTGCAGGTCTACGTCTTCGTATAGCCTCCATATAACGGCGCATCCCGATATTCGGTATTTTAATGATTTTAACGAAATTATTCACCGTTTTTTTAAGTTTCGCATTTGAATATTGTGATGGCTTATGACAAAATTTACCTATTCAGGTCATATAGACCCTAAAATAACAGCAATATTCGTTACTTTTAAGATGTTAACAGTATTTTTAATGGATTTTATTGTTTTTGAGAATTGCCAAATTCGTTCTAAATGGTGGAGGGTATTCAAAGTTCGGCCCGGCCCAGCCCAGCTACATTCGGTATTTTTAAGCTTTTAATAGAATTTTTAACGGATTTTATTGTTTTTGAGAATTGCCAAATTCGTGGAGGGTATTCAAAGTTCGGCTCGGCAGAACTTACAGGCTTTTTACTTGTTTTTAACTCGACTCATCGTGTCATTGAGAGAATTTCAACCATGTGAATGAGAATTATTCGAGTTTTTTTTTATTTATACTTTCCAGAAGATAAACTTCTGATTTAGATTTTGGTTCATCGTTTCATGGGAATTTTTCACAAAGTGAATGAGAATTATTTGTTTTTTTTTTTTTTTTTATTTGAAGAACCGTGCTGATAGATCCCATTTTGAGCGGGGCCATTCCTGCGGGTAATCCATTCGCTGTACACTTTGCCATGGTTGTCGATTGTATTCGAAAACAGGGTACCGACGAACAGTTCGAGAAGTTCGGCAAGCCGTCGCAAGAATTACAGATCAGTGGAGCCTATGCCCAAACGGAATTGGGCCATGGAACCAATCTGAGGGCTTTGGAGACTCGGGCCGATTTTGATCGTAAAACCGATGAATTTGTGTTGAATACACCGACGCTATCTTCGTACAAGTGGTGGCCTGGAGGATGTAAGTGTGTCGGAATCATATATTTAAAAATTTCAATTAAATTAATTTAATTTTTATAACATTTTCAATTTAAATTAAATTTTTAATTTACATGAAACTAAATTTTTCCCAGTGGGTCATTCCGCCACATTTTGCATTGTGGCGGCAAATCTTTATATCGACGGCAACCCTAAGGGCGTGGCCATGTTTTTGGTACCCCTGCGTGATCGGGAGACCCACATGCCCTTGCCGGGCATAGACATTGGTGACATCGGCAAGAGAATGGGTTTTGCTGGGGTCAACAACGGATATTTGGGTTTGAAAAATGTTCGCATACCGCGCACCAATATGTTGATGCGCAATGCCAAGGTCCATAGAGATGGTTCGTTTGAGGAGAGTCCTGCGGCTGTTTTGACCTATTTCACAATGGTCTATGCTCGATGCTTTATTGTACGTAATATTGCCCTGATGTTGTCGCAGTCGGCAACCATAGCTACGCGTTACTCGGCCGTAAGGAGGCAAAGTCCCATTAATCCAAAGTATGTTTTCTACCAAAATTCGAAACAATTTTTTTCACATCATTTTGGAACTCTTTCTATCAGACAACCTGAACCCCAAATCATGGACCATGTTACCCAACAAAAGAAATTATTCCCGGAAATTGCCAACAGTGTGGCCTATAAACTGGCTTCGGATAAATTGTATCAGTTGTACGAACAAACTTCTGAGGAGATTAAGAGAGGTGAATTTGGCAGTCTTCCAGAAATGCATGTGCTCTCCTGTGCCATGAAGGTGTTGTGCTCCAAAACCACCATGGCCGGGGCGGAAACTTTGCGTTTGGCCTGTGGTGGACATGGCTATTTGGCCTCCTCGAATTTGGGTTATTTGTATGCGGATGCTTCGGCTTCCTGTACCTATGAGGGAGAGAACACAGTTCTGCTCTTACAGGTGGCTCGCTTTCTGATGAAATCCTACCGACAGGCCTTGGAGGGTAAACCCGTGCTACCCAGTGTCAACTATTTGCAGGAGGCGGTGAGACAGAAATATGCACCCAAATGGATGGGGTCGTGGGAAAATATGGTAGAAATATTGCAATTTACCGCTGCCAAGTAAGTAGCTCCTTACATCCGATAGAGAGAGAGAGAGAAAATAATATCACAAAAATATTTTTTTTTTCAGTAAAACCCGTTTGGCCTATGAAAACCTGACCGCCCGCCTTAAGGCAGGGCAATCCACGGGTGAGGCCAACAACAATACTGGTATTGAATTATCGCAAGCGGCTGAGGTAGGTTTTTGTCTAAAGAGAGAGAAAAATTCACATTTAAAATTTCTCCCTCTCTCTCTCTCTTTTACAGTTACACGGTGTGGCCTTTGTTACCAGGACATTTTTGGAAGAGGTTACCGGCACCAAGGCCCAGCAACGCAATAAGGCCCTCAATAAAGTTTTGGAAAATCTTTTAGAATTATTTTTACTTACCAATGTCCTGCAATATATGAACGAAATTTTGAGGGTATGTGGGAAAAATTCTCTGAGCAATTTCTTCTCATATATTTTACGTATCCTTTTTTGTAGGTCATTCAAATTTCCGATGGTGAGCTACGTGTCTTGCAGAGCCGTTTGGAAAATGTTCTGAAGGCTCTGCGCCCCGATGCAGTGGCAATTTGTGATGGCTTTGATCATCATGATCAAAATTTGAGATCCACTTTGGGTTCCTATGATGGCAATGTCTATGAGCGTATCTTTGCCGAGGCCAAAGAGGGTCCGTTGAACAAGAAACCAGTGCCGGATGTAATTTTTAGTCACATGAAGCCCTTCATCCAATCAAAATTGTAAAATAAAGATGTAATTTTTAATAAAAAAAAAATAAAATTAAAACAAGCTAAAAAGCAGTAAGATCGGCTGGGCCAAACTTTGAATACCCTCCGCCATTTGGAACGAATTTGGAAATTAAAAAAAAATCCTTAAAAAATTCTGTTAAATTTTAAAAATACAGAATATTGCCGTTATATCGAGGTCTATACGACGTGGACCTACATAGGAATTGATTGCCATTAGCCATTACCATATTCAAATTCGAAACTTGAAATAACCGGTGAATAATGTAGCTGAAATCATTAAAATATCGTATATAGGGAGGTACCGTTATATCGAAGCTGTGCGAAGACCTGGACCAGCATAGACAATTACGAACTTCAAATACGAGATCTTAAACAATTTCGGTGGGTATTGTACCTAAACTCGTCAAAATACCGAATATAGGGAGTTACTGATATATGGGGCCTATACGAAGACCTGGATCTGCATACACATTTTTCTGTCTCTAGTTCCCATTACGAACTCAAAATACGTAATTTGAAATAATTCCGGTGAATAATGGCGCTAAAATCATCAAAATACCGAATTTTGGGAGGTACCGTTATATGGGGGCTATACGAAGCCGTCGACCTGCACAGACAGTTTTCTGTCATAGGCTGTAGCATCCATTACGAATCTCAAATATCAAATTTGAAACAATTCCGGTGAATAATGGCGCTAATATCATCAAAATACCGAATATAGGGAAGTACCGTTATATGGGGGCTATACGAAGACGTGAACCTGCCCAGATAATTTTCTGTCATAGCCTGTAGCATCCATTACGAATCTCAAATATCAAATTTGAATCAATTCCGGTGAATAATGGCGCTAATATCATCAAAATACCGAATATAGGAAGGTACCGTTATACAGGAGCTATACGAAGACGTGGACCTGCACAGACAATTTTCTGTCATAGGCTGTAGCATCCATTACGATTCTCAAATATCAAATTTGAAACAATTCCGGTGAATAATGTCGCTAAAATCATTAAAATACCGAATATCGGGAGGTACCGTTATATGGGAGCTATACGAAGACGTGGACCTGCCCAAATAATTTTCTGTCATAGGCTGTAGTATCCATTTCGAACTTGAAATACCAAAGATGAAACAATTCCGGTAAATAATGTCGCTAAAATCATTAAAATACCGAATTTCGACAAGACCTACATGACCCATTTACTTGAACTTAAACTGCCTACTGGAAAAATAAACATGTGTGCAAAATTTTAGCCTTCTATCTCAATTCGTTCGAAAGATAGCGTGATTACAACAGACAGACGGACATGGCTAAATCGACTTAGAATTTTACGCTGATCAAGAATATATATAGTTTGTTGGGTCTGACGTGAGTATTTCGAGGAATTACAAACGGAATGACAAAGTTAATATACCCTCCATAGTATGGTGTAATTAGAAATATATTTTTTTACAAAAATTATGTATTTTAAGCCCCAAGTTTATAACAGAATATTTTTCAAGGACCATCAAAACTATAAACGATGTTTTTCGGAATATCTTTAACAAGGATAATGAGAGCCAATTCCTGTGAATAATGTCGTTAAAATCATCAAAATACGGAAAATCGGGTGGTATAGTTTTTAGGGGGGGGGGGGTTGGTATACGATATCGTAGACCTATAAGTATACATAGATAGACCTATAGTATGTATATAAAGTGCTCACAAGGATTTTAAGCCAATTTCAATGAAAAATGTAACTAAAATCATGAAAATTTGTGGTATCGTTATATGGGGGTTATACGATATCATGGGCCAATATAGCCCATTTTCGAACTCCACCTTTCAGTAGATAAAAGATTAATATGTGCAAAATGTTTGCTTCCTATTTTAATTCGTTGTGACTCAGACGGACGGACTGGTCTAAGGTGTCTAGAATTATTATTTCGATGAATTATGGTGGTATGGTATGGTGGAGGATGTACAAATATTTTTTCAGGAATTATCAGAGTATTATCGAGAAATTTGAGATACCCTTTTACAAGAATAAATAGATAAATAGTTTTCACCATCTTGATAAAAAGTTTTATTTTAGAAGGAATGTTCGTGGATTTCAGTGAATTTATTTATTTGAGAAAAATATTTAAATTTTTGAAGAATATTTTCTTAGAACTGTCGGAATAACGATCGTGGATAATTAGAGGACCTAACGCAATTGCTATTTGGATACCATTTTTGGAGTCTCCTTTGATATTAATATCGTGCATTTTTGTAAACACTTTTGGAGAAACCTTTGGTCATCGTCCACTGTTTCCTTTCACTTTTATTTAAGTCTTTACTACCACATAATATATCTGTTCCAAGCCTCTTATCTTCTCACCACAGTGCAGATTTTTCTGTTACGCTCTCGCACCGAAAAGCTTTCCGTTCAGTGCTCAACAATTGTCTTTATCATCTACTCTTTAAGTATAAAAGTTTTCGCCTCAGTGCACCGGCCATTTAGTTGAAAAATAAAAACGCTAGTGTCAGCACTCACTATTCGATTCGATTCGAGAGTGGTCGTAGATTGTTGCCGGTTCGGTGGTGTGTTTTAGCGAGTGTGTTGTAAAACAAAAACAATTGCCGGAATAGAAACCTCGAGTATTACCTCCACATAGTCATAAACATTCTTTAATTCTTATCAAAATGACTTCAATCGTTCCATCGACCCCTAATCCCGACATTGTCAAAGAACGTCGTAATGCAACCTGCAACAGTGAGGAGCTGGCCCAGTGGTTCCATGGTGGTGCAGAGAAATTGAAGAATAAACGTGAAATTGGTAATTTTTGGAAAATTAATATTAATGATATCGATATCGGGTGATCGATAATGGGGTGGTGTGATAGTTTTCAAATAATCTTAAATAATTATGATAATATTTGCACATTCGGTCGGGTGTTGACACATGCCATGCCAAGCATTGAGTGGGGCTCTGTTTGGGTACGAAGTTATGTTTACAGTCTAAAGGTCGCTTTGAGTGCGTTCTCTGTTATTGTTTTTCTATTTGAATTTGAGAGATAAAATTCGTATATTTTACGAGATAGCTGAGATGAGATGGCATTACAATAATCGGCAATTCTCCTAAAGTTTGAGAAAACTTTCAAATGGGTGGTAGTTGTTTATAATAAAGAGCTAAGTCTTCCGCAATGCGAAGAGAATGGACAAAAGTTGTACAGTGGTGAAGAAATACTTTTTAAGACAAATTAAAAACTGTCAGTCGGTTATGCCGACAGATGTATACCCTCATCCAAAGTTCGTTTTCTTTGAGCCTTTTTATACTCTCCACCATAGTATGGTTAAGTTTGTCATTCCGTTTGTAACACCTCGAAATATACATTTTAGACCCCACAAAGTACATATATTCTTGATCAGCATAAAATTCTATGTCGATTTGGCGATGTCCATGCGTCTGTGGAAATCACTCTAGCTTCCGAAGCAATTGAAGTAGATTGATAATTTTTTGATAATAATTTTACTCAAATGTATGCAGGACTTTTGGTATTGAAAATAGGACATGTAGGTCCCCGTTTTGGTATAGCCCCCATATAACGGTACCTCCCGATATTCGTTATTTTGATGATTTTAGCGACATTATTCACCGGAATTGTTTCAGATTTGGTATTTAAAGTTTGTAATGGATACTACAGCCTATGAGAGAAAATTGTCTTGCAGGTCCACGTCTTCGTATAGCCCCCATATAACGGTACCTCCCGATATTCGGTATTTTTATGATTTTAGCGACATTGTTCACCGATTTTTTTTTTAAGTTTCGCATTTTAATATTGTAATGGCTTATGACAAAGGTTATCAATGTAGGTCCATGTCGTCGTATAGACCCTAACAGCTAAATTCGGTATTTTTAAGATTTTTTTTAACGGATTTTATTGTTTTTGAGAATTGACAAATTCGTTTCAAATGGTGGAGGGTAGTCAAAATTCGGCCCGGCAGAACTTACAGCTTTTTTACTTGTTTTCACAAAATCTTGAACTCTATGTGGGGGAGGTAACAGAAGGTGTGGATCGATATATCCCGTCTTCACAACAGACCCTGTGTTAGTATAAATAATGGGTTGTGTGAAATATGAAGATGTGTCAAGCGTGAATGGAATCGGATGTTTTTTTTTTAGCATCATGGATATTGAAAATGCTGGCACGTTTTAGCGGTATCAAATGATATGTACCCCCACTAGCCATATGGCTAGGAGAATAAAAATAAATTATAAGATCTTCTGGGATAATAAGATACTCATTTAAGAAGGCCTCTTAAAAATCTCCAATCTTTAGAAGAATTTCTGAAGAGCTCTAACCTGTGTCTTCTAGATTTAACTCTACGGAGCTTTTTTTTGAAAAAAAAATTCTGAACTAATCCAAAGGTCAAGAAGTCTATATAAACGAGCTAGCTCTCCTGTCCAAAAATACACCCTAACCTCCAGTTCGTCTAAAAGGATGCTCTGGCTCGTCTAGACAAACTCCCTGGCTTCCAGCTCCACGAATCCATGGAATCCATGTCTATTAAGACTCTATGCAGCTCTATCTCTTCCTTAAAAGGACTTTATATACTACCCGACCTCCAGCTCGCCCAAAATAACTTCCTGGCCTTCAACTCGTCTAAAAGGACTTTCTTTCTATAAATACTTCCTAGCCCTAAGCTATTCTAAATATATTCATTGACCTCCAGCTTTTCTAGAAAAACCCCTTGGCCTCCAGGTTGTCCCTAAAAATTGCCTGGTCTTCAGCCCGTCTGAAAAAGGCAGTCTGATCCTTTAGCCTGTCCATAAAATCCCTCTGGTCCGTCTAAAAAGACATCCTGATTCTTCAGTTCGTCCATAAAAGCTACCTGACATCCATCTAGTCTACAAAGTCTCCCCGGCTTCCAAATCGTCTAAAAAGTCTTCTTTGCTACCAGCTTGCGCGGAAATCTCCCAAGTCCAAAATAGATTTTAAAGACTCTTTGACATACAGCTACCCTATCAGCGTCTATAAAGACTGTCTGGTCTACAGCTTGTCTATTAAGAGAATCCTGGCCGTCTATATGAAGTCTTCCTGACCCACATCAAGCTAGCCTATTTAAATACTTCCAGCTAGTATATATGAAGATTTTATGTCCGGGCTTCAGAGCTCGTTTAAAAAAATAATAAGCTTCAGGTCGTCTAAAATATATTTTTTCTGGTTTCCAGCCCGTTTAAATCTCCTTTCGGGTATATGGCTCATCAATAAAACGTCCATAACGCGAGTCCACTCAGCCTTCCTATAAACAATATCTGAACCTCAAGTTCGCCTACGGAGGCATGGGATGTCTCAACTAGTCTAGTAAGACTACCTGGCCTTCAGCCCGTTTACAAAGACTTATTGACCTCCAGCTCTCCTATTAAGCCCACAACGCTCTTCAGCTCTTCTATTGTTCTTTAACTCCTTTGTAAGACTCAATGGGTTTCCAGCTCGTCTTTAAAGACTAACTAGGCCTCCAGCATGTCTATAAAGGTTCTTGGATCTGCTGGGTTATCCAAAAAACTATGTTGCCGTTATTTCTGCCTCCTTGGCCACTCATGTCATTTGTAAACCTTATGAGGATATTCTTCGTTTGAAACTATCTGAATTTTGGTTCCTCACTGTGCCTCCAGCTCGTTTATAAACACTGTAAAGATTTCCTGGTGCTCTAAATCGTCTGTAAAGATTAGCAAGCCCTTTATGTTTTTCCACACCCTTCAGTTCATCTATAAAAACTACTCTGTATAGATCCCAGGGGCTTTAGCTCTTCCGTAAAGATTACTAATCCATTTAGTTTTACCTTGACTTTCATCTTATCTAGAAAGACTTCCCAAGTTCACTGTTCGTCCCAATGCTTCCTGAAACTCTATATCTTCCGTAAATACTCGTGGGGCCTCCACATGGGATTACATCAAGATTTCCCTCGGGATATCCAAAGCTTTCTTTCTGTCATCGATAAAACTTTTCCTTCGCTCACCCATAAAATATTTCCTTCTCTCCGCCTCCGCATGCCCTCATTTTGGTGTGATTATGAAAAAAACTGTTCCTACATTTGAACCGAATTGCATTGTAATTGCTAATAAATTTTAATTGTTGTTGTTGCAATTTTTAGATGTTTTGGACTAATGCCGACTGGCATTGATTTGAAACATGCGACTTCGTTGTTATCTGATAAAAATGTTAACAATATTTATTTTTTGTAGTTAAGTAGAGTTTTTTTGATAATGTGAAACACTCATTTACCCGAATGCCGGTGACTAGCTGACTGTGTATATGACACGTCATATATTCGGGTACATACACTTCGGATTGATAACAGTGGGCCTAAATACAAGGGTCAGTGTTTATCAGAAGATTATTGTAGGTGCATGACAATAAAAACGAAATCTATTAAATATATTTAATCAATGATTAAGCCTTTATATGTTATGTCAATATGTAGGTGTGTTCACATTGGGGTGTGTAGAAAGTAGGTAACACAGATAGGCGGGGTGTGAGGTGTGAAGGGAAGAAATCAAAAAATTACAAAAGTTTCTATCCGTGGGTCAAATAGTTTATATAGACAAGTTGGAGAACCAAAAAGTATTTTTAGGTAAGCTAGAGGATCAAGATCTTGGTCAGGAGCCTTTTTGTATGGCCTGGAGGATAAGGACATTTTAGGAAAAAGTTAGTCAGGGAGATTTATAGACGCAGAACAGTCCCTAGAGACGAGCTGGAGGGACCGGGAGTCTTTGTGGACGATCTAGATGGCCAGGAAGATTAATAGGTAAGCTAGAGGGTCAGAGGCTTGGTAGGCGATCTGGGTGTTCAGGAATCTTTATAAAGGGGCTGGAGGATAAGGGAACTTTTAGTAAAAACTAGATACTCAAAGAAATTTATAGACGCAGAGGAGTCCTTACAGATGAGCGAGAGGGACCAGGAGTCTTTATAGACGTTCTACATGGCTAGGGAGATTTATAGGTAAGCTAGAGGGTCAGAGTCTTGGTAGCCGATTTGGGTGGTAAGGAGTCTTTTTAAAGGGGCTGGAAGATAATGAACCTTTTAGAGAAAAAAAAGCGGATAGTCAGGCCAATTTATAGACGCAGAGGCGTCCTTGGAGAAGAGCGGGAGGGGCCAGAAGTCTTTATAGACGATCTAGTTGGCCAGGGAGATTTATAGGTAAGCCAGAGTCTTGGTAGCCGATCTGGGTGGTAAGGTGTCTTTTTATGGGGGTTAGGGATATTTATAGATGTAGAAGAGTTCTTAGAGACAAGCTGGAGGGCCTGGGGGTCTTTATAGACGATCTAGATGGCCAGGGAGATTTATAGATGTTCAGGTGTATTTTTAGAACAGCTGGGGAAGAGAGAATCCTTTTAGAGATGTTGGAGGGCAAGGGAGTCTTTTTAACAAGTTGAAGAACTAGGAAGTCTTTTTAGACGATCTAGATGATCAGGGAGATTTATAGATATTCAGGAGTCTTTTTAGAAAAGCTGTGGGGACAAGAAGTCCTCTAAGAGAAGCTGGAGTCTTTTTAAATAGTAGGAGGACTAGGAAGTCGTTTTAGACGATCCAGAAATCAAGGGTGATTTATAGACGCTCTAGAGTCTTTTTAGAACAGCTGTGGGGACAGAAAGTCCTCTAAGAGGAGATGGAGGGTAAGGGAGTATATTTAAATAGTAGGAGGACTAGGAAGTCGTTTTAGAGGATCCAGAACTCAAGGGTGATTTATAGACGCTCAGGAGTCTTTTTAGAACAACTGGGGGACAGGGAGTCTTTCTAGAGGAGCTGGAGGGCAACGGGGTCTCTTAAAAAAGTTGCAGCACTCGAAAGTCTTTTAAGACGATCCAGATCGCCAGGGAGGTTTATAGACACTCAGGTTTCTTTTTAGAACAACTTGGGGACAAAGAGTCCTTTTAGAGAAGTTGGAGGGCAAGGGAGTCTTCTTTAACAATTTGAAGAACTAGGAAGTCTTTTTAGACGATCTTGATGACCAGGGAGATTTATAGATATTCAGGAGTCTTTTTAGAAAAGCTGTAGGGACAGGAAGTCCTCTAAGAGGAGCTGGAGGGTAAGGGGGTCTATTTAAATAGTAGGAGGACTAGGAAGTCGTTTTAGCCGATCCAGAAATCAAGGGTGATTTATAGACGCTCAGCAGGGGACATTAGAGCAGCTGGGGGACATGGAGTATTTTTAGAGGAGCTGGACCTAGGTATTTTTATACAGACAATTCGTAGACAAAATTTAGAGAAAGACAGGGAGAATTTAGGGGAAGCAAGCAAATCTTTTTTACAAATTGGAGGACTAGAAAGACTTTAAAGGAGTTGGAAGGCCAGTGATTCTGACAATTCGTAGAATTTGGATTAAATCAGGGAGCTTCGCTACTTAAAACACTATTTGGGAGAGAAATGTCATTCTCAACTATTTCGTCCATTCTTTTTCAGAACACGAGCTTTTCAAGGGTCTTGAAAAAGGCTATGGCCTCAAACATGAATATCTCGATCATGAGGGTGTCTACAATCGGGCTGTGGAACAAGTTGTTATTGCTTCCAAAAAGCTCAAGAAATTACAACAGGAAAGGAATCCCGGAGGAAATGATATATGGCCGTAAGTATTTGATCCTATATACATTTTAATTTTCTGAAAGTTCCATAATAACCTCTAAAAAATTTCAGAAAGGGTCTCTATGATGTCTATAGCCATGGTCTGTTTCCAGCCAACAGTCCCGTCTCCACACACATTACCATGTTTGTGGATGTGATCAAGGGTCAGGGTACAGCAGAGCAGGTGGAGAAATGGGCCAAGGCAGCGGAGAATTGTAATATCATTGGTACATATGCCCAGACGGAGTTGGCTCATGGCACCAATGTTAGGGGTATTCAGACTCGGGCCGATTATGATCCAAAGACACAGGAGTTTGTATTGAACACGCCCTGTCTGCAGGCCTACAAATGGTGGCCTGGAGGATGTAAGTTGCATCTTAGTTTTTTTTCTCAAATTTTTATTTATTGAACATTTTTACCTCCTCCGCTAGTGGGTCACACTGCCAACCATGCCAATGTTGTGGCTCAGTTGTACATCAACGGTGAACACAAGGGCATACAAATGTTCATTGTCCAGGTGCGTGATCTGGAGACTCATATGCCCATGCCAGGTGTGGATATTGGTGAAATTGGCAAAAAAGTGGGTATGGCTGCTGTGAATCAAGGCTTTTTGGGCCTCAAGAATGTGCGCATTCCCCGCGAAAATATGCTCATGAAAAACGCCAAAGTCATGCCGGATGGTACTTTCATTGAGAGTCCTGTGTCGAAATTGTCCTACATGACAATGGTCTATACGAGGTGTCTAATTGTCAATTTGGATGCCACTTATCTATTGGAGGCTGCCACCATTGCCACACGCTATTCGGCTGTTAGACGACAAAGTCCAATTAATCCAAAGTAAGTTGTCATTATTGTAGAAGGAAAGAAGATATTTTTCAAATTCCTCCCGTTCGTAGTGAACCTGAACCCCAAATCATGGATCATGTAGCCCAGCAATTGAAATTGTTCCCTGAAATTGCCACCGGCATTGCCTATCACATATCTGCCGAACACATGTGGGAGTTGTACAATCAAACGGTCGACGAAATCAACAATGGCCAATACTCGCGACTTCCTGAAATGCATGCCCTCTCGTGTGCCCTTAAGGCCCTCTGCACCACAGATGCCTGTGCTGGCATTGAACGCCTGCGATTATCCTGCGGCGGTCACGGCTTTATGGCTGTTGCCAACATAGGTAATATCTATGGCAATGCCGTTGCCGCCTACACCTATGAAGGTGAAAACACAGTACTGCTCCTGCAAATTGCCCGTTTCCTGGTGAAATCCTGGTCCTATTTGGTGGAGGGTAAAAAAATGTTATCCAGTGTCGAGTATTTGAGGCAAGGCCTGAAAAAGGATACCTTCCCCAAATGGAACAACAGTTGGGAATGTATTGTTGAGGCCTTGAAATACACTGCAGCCCAGTAAGTTGGAGGCATTTGAAATGGGAAGAGTTCTGGCAATTTTAAAATGAAATCATATTTATTTTACAGCAAAACTCGCATAGCATTTGAAAGCTTCTCGGAACGAATGATGGCCGGTGAAACACAACCAGAGGCATTTAATAACAGCAGTATTGAATTGTTGCAGGCAGCAGAGGTAAGGGCAAATTTCAGAGTAAGATGCCAGGGAGTCTTTGTAGACTAATTCGAGGCCCTGGGAAACTACAAGGAAAGCTGGAGACTGGGTAGTTTCTATTTAAACGAGTTGGATCCAAAAGATGTTTTATAGACGACATGAAGGTCAGGGAGTATTTGCAGACGACCTTAAGGCCAGGGTATTTGTAGACGAGCAGAAGGGACAGATATTCTTTGTAGACGAGCTGGAGGCCAGAGGGAAATTGTAGACGAGTTATTTGTAGGCGAGTTAGAGGCCACATAAACGTTAAAAGAGTCGTTATAGGAGTATTGAAGGCCAGAGAGTCTCTGTAAATTTGTTGGAGAACAGGAAGCCGTTTTAGAAGACTAAGTGGCCAACGAGTCTCTTTAAACGAGCTTGAAATCAGCGAGTCTTATTAGACGAGCTAGGGATCAGGGAGTCTTGGTAAACGAGCTGGAGACCAGGAATACTTTTAGACAAGCCAGAATCCAAGGAGATATTTTAAATGAGCTGCAGGAAGTAGAGGCCAGGAAGTCTTTTAGACGAGGTAGAGGCCAGGCAGTCTTTTTGGACAAGCCCCAGACAGAAGACTCTTTTTAGACAAGCTGGAGTCCGGGGAGTCTTTTAAGATGAGGTCAAGGCCAAGGATTCTTTTTAGACGAATGTTAGACCAGCTGGAGTCCAGGTCGTCGTTTTGGGCGAAATGAATGTTAGGAAATTCCTAAAGACGAGATGAAGAACATGGACTCTCTATAAATTCGCTGGAGGTCAATACGTCGTTTTGTGCAATCTAGAAGCCAGACAGTATTTTCAGATGAGAGCTACAGACGGGCTCTGGATACCTTATATTGTCGAGATAAAGACAGGATATGGAGTTTTTAAATGCCATCCGAGGTGTTGTTAAATAGTTGGGCTGGAGGCCATCCAGGGAGTCGTTAAATATATTAACAGATTGACGACGGAGTCTTTAAATAGACGAGTTGAAGGTCGTCTAAGTAGTTTTAAAATAAAAGAGCTGGATTCGGGACCGTGTAGTCTTTAAATAGGCAAGCTGACGGTGGGTACGGGGAGTCTTAAATAGACCAGCTGGAGGTGGTTCCCGGTATTCTTTAAAGAGACAAACTAGGGGCCGTCCAGGGAGACCTTAAAGACACGAGTTGAATGCCGAAAGGGAAGTCTTTGTATAGACGAGCTGGAGGCCCGCCAGGGAGTCTTTCAATAGACGAGCTGGAGGCCCGCCAGGGAGTCTTTCAATAGACGAACTGGAGGCCCGCCAGTGAGTCTTTCAATAGACGAGCTGGAGGCCCGCCAGGGAGTCTTTCAATAGACGAGCTGGAGGCCCGCCAGGGAGTCTTTCAACAGACGAGCTGGAGGCCCGCCAGAGAGTCTTTCAATGGACGAGCTGGAGGCCCGCCAGGTGGTCTTTCAATAGGCGAGCTGGAGGCCCGCCAGGTGGTCTTTCAATAGGCAAGCTGGAGGCCCGCCAGGTGGTCTTTCAATAGGCGAGCTGGAGGCCCGCCAGGTGGTCTTTCAATAGACGAGCTGGGGGCCTACAAGGGAGTCTTTGTTTAGACGAGCTGGGGGCCTGCAAGGAACTCTTTGTATAGACGAACTAGAGGCCTGCCAGGGAGTCTTTTTGTGTAGATGAGCTGAAGGCCCGCCAGGGAGTCTTTCAATAGATGAGCTGGATGCCCGTCAGGCAGTCTTTCAATATAGGAGTTGGAGGTCCGCCAGGCAGTCCTTGTATAGACGAGCTGGAGGCATGCCAGGGAGTCTTTGTATAGACGAGCTGGGGGCATGCCAGGGAGTCTTTGAATAGACGTGCTGGAGGCCCGCTAGCGAGTCTTTGAATATACGAGCTGGAGGCAGTCCAAGGAGTGTTCTAATAGACGAGCTGAAGGCCATCCAGATAGTCTTCGAATAGACGAGCTGAATACCGTCCGAGGAGACGGAGAGGAGAAATTCACAAATTGATATTCGGAATTTTGAAATGTGGGCTTAACACCTTTGGACAACTCTCATGAAAAGTCCCCAACTCTATGGTTGTTAAGGCCTGGGCCCAAAATTGAAAAGTCCCAATCTCTCGCACTAAAAGTTATAAAAAACTAGGGCTAAATTGAAAGGTCTTGAGCCACAACTGAAAAGTATTGGTACTCAGTCTCAGATCTAATAAAAATTCATAAACATAATTCGAAAATCGTATTCATTCCATATTTCTGTTTTAACAGCTCCATGGTCGTCAATTCGTTGCCGAAACATTCTGGAAACAAATCACCGGTCCCAAGACAGCCAATCTGTCCAAACCCACGAAAGCCGCTTTGGACAATTTGGTTGAATTGTATTTGGTCCACACCGCCCTCAGACATATGAATGATATTCTACGTTTCATTTCGTTGACTGAAGCCGATGTGAAATCGTTACAAAATCGTTTGGAAGCTGTCCTCAAGAAATTGCGCCCCGAGGCTATTGCCATTACCGATGGTTTCGATTTCAGTGATGGTGTTCTGAATTCCGTACTGGGTGCCTATGATGGTAATGTGTATGAGCGTATCTTCGAAGCAGCCAAAATGAGTCCCATGAATCAGAAACCCGTTCAAGATTCCTTTGAGAAGCATTTGAAGCCGTTTATGAAATCGAAAATGTAAATGTGTATGTATATGTATTCCTGTGTATATATGTAGTTAATTGGTCTGTTTTTGGTACATATATTTATGTACGGATTAACTTTTTATATTTAAATAAAATAAATAGTTATAAAATAAGAGAGAACAAAAATTTCAGTAGTATTTTGATTGGAAGAATATGTTTGCATTTAAGGACTAACAATGCTCTGTGAGAATTAGAAATTTTCTGATATTCCTAGAGACCAAGAGCTGATTTTCTCACTTGAAATGATTTTTTTTTTCTTAATTTTTGGGTGCGATAGAGGCAGTATCAACATTTCTACAGGAATTCTGGGTATACATTTGACACTAGACTGAATACAATTGAATTCTTTAAAATACAGCGAGAAGTTAAATCAAAATTTCTAAATATTCCAAAAATTGAAGTTTGAATTGTAATAAGAAAACATACAGGGTGAGACAAAAAAAAACTGGAACAAAGTCAAACGCCACAATTTTTTCCTTTTTTTTTAAATTTTATTGAATGAAAGCAAAAAATGTCGGAAATAGCATTAAATTTTAGAAAAAGTTTAGATTTGTTCGAATTGGTCATCTTTGGCACGAAATATGGTCTTCAAACGGCCAATGAATCCGTCACACGCTGCCCGAATGTTGCTCTTCGGTATTTTGGCCCTTTGGCGCTTGCTTGAGGTGATCGACACTTTGGTATTTTTTAGTGCCAACCTTGTTTTCCAAAATACTTCAGACACAATAGTCCAACGGATTGGTATCCGGTGGTCATTGTGTGCTGGAAATAAGGCGAGGAACCTCATTTTGTAACCATTCTTCGGTGGCGCGTGCTGAGTGCAATGGTGCTGAGTCCTGTTGGAATGTCCAAGCTCTGCGGCCAAAATATTTGCGTGCCCATGGCTTTAATACACCCTCCAGAATATTTTCGCTATAATATTCGATTAATACCAGCGGATAGCGACCATCAGCTGTTATGGCCGGCGCTTGAGTTCTGGTGGCCAACCGAAGCTGCACATTTTCAGCTGACCTCTTTGACTAGTAAACACGATCATTTTGTTTGTTTACAAACTGCAGGACAAGGAATGTTTTCTCATCGGAGACGGAGAAAACCAAATTCGGCAGTTCACCACTTTCGGCCAAGCGAAGCGAATCAACTTTTTCGCTCATTAGGGTCTATTTTCTTTCTGTTGCCGTGTAAGTTCTTGCACTTTTTGGAATTTTTCGAGCTCATTTTTCAATATTTGCTGAATGGAATATTGTGATATTTTCAGCTCACGAGCCATTTTCTGCTGATGTTGCTGTTTTCTTCCGTCCACTTCCTTGATGACGGGCTACACTACCAGTATCACGGTAATGAGCGATGGTACGAAACACAAAAAATGTATTCACATTTAAATGCTGGAGTGCTCTAATGATAGCCACTTGTGGGTTTCCAGCCAAATATAAAGAAATTACACCCTCATGCTTGAATTCCATCTCGAATAACTCTTTTTCTGGAAAATTCTCACCAAAATTTTTTTGTACGTTTGTAAACAATATAATTAGCTGTCACTGGATTAATTTTAACAGCTTTCGGACGAGTGGCTTAGAAATGACAGCAGTCTGAGCTCCAGAACTGCAAAAAAAAAAAAAATGAAATTGTTTATTACCATAACCGATTTTTCCTTTATGATAACGAAAAAATTCCAAATCTCTTAGATTCTTGCAGATTCTGGAACAGAGCAACAGTCTCAATATGTTTATCCACGTAGCCCCCCCCCCTAAAAAAAAAAAAAAAACTTCAAACATGTTGGTTTCTCAACACTATGCCAATTTAACTCACAGTGCTTATCTCCAAGAAAAATTTTGATTTTACTTTAAGAACTTTCTTTTTCATTGGATTTATCGGAGCTGCAGAAAGCTTTTTCGAGAGAATAACAACAAACATAATCGCTTTCATATTTAGAAGTGAAATACAACAATTGTCCAAAATAATATTTTAGTTAGCTGCAAACATTCTTCTCCATCGATTTCAAATACCGTGGAGTACGAGAACAATTAATCGTAGATATGGAAAGTTTTGAAATTCCAAAAACCATAAATCCTGACATTGCCATTGAGCGAAAAAATGCCAGCTTCAATTCGGAGGAAATGGCAATTTGGCTCTATGGTTCCAAGGAGAAATTGGAAAGGAAAAGGATAATCGGTAAGTTGCAATGGAGATATATAATGAGAATGCATTTTAAAGTTGGATATGGATTTTACACCTTGGATCCTCAGCCATATGGCTACAGAGGGTATATATCATTTGATACAGCCAAAATGCGACTCATCGAAATAACGGTTTTAGACTCTAGGTCTCTTAGGGCCAACTCCGTTTCATGACATTTGGAATCGATCTAGCGATGTCCTTCCGTCAGTCCATCTGCCTGGCTGGTGCATACGATAACTCCTAAAATTTTCAAGTCCTGGTCGTGTGAGAAATTGGACAGTATCGGTCCACTCCATCAAGTACCTTCATCATTCATCAAGTGAAATGGAATACTTCGGTCTTACCCACATTTTAACATTTTCTAAAAATTATGTAGCCCAAACTTGCTTCGTCGAAGTATTAATATCACATTTATTTAGCTCCGATACGAAATGGCCAATATTGGTCTATCCTTCGGATCCTACTCCATAGAGGCTCAACAATTTGAGTCATCATAGCAGAAGTCAAAATATATTTAAATAATCGAAAATTGGCAAAAACGGCTGATACTTTGCAACTTTTTATGCCCTACACCACAAAGTGGTAAGGGTATTAGGTCTTTGTGCATTTGTTTGTAACATGGAGAAGGAAGCGAGATAGACCCATAGTTACTTTTGAGGATTTCCATAGAATCACTTTCTGAGTTGATTTATGCATGTCAGTCCGTCTGTCCATGTATTCTTGTGAACAAAATGCAGGTCGCATTTATTATCCGATTGAGATGAAATTTTGCACAAATCATTTCTTTGGACCAAGGACGAACCCTATTGAAATTGGAGATAATCGGTAAAAAATTTAGATACAGCTCCCATATATATATATTCGTTCGATTTGCCTTTTATTGTGCACCAAACGTGTAATATCAGCACATAGAAGCAAATTAGGTCTGAAAATAAGTATGCCAAATTTGATCGAAATCGGTTCAGACATAGATATAGCTCCCATATATATTGTTCATCCGATTTGTTATTTTTGTCTCCGCAGCCGTAATATGCACTCTGTAACAAAAATATTTGGAGAAATATATCAAATGCGGCTCAGAAATACCTTTGCTAAATTTTATTGAGATCGGTTCGGATTTGGATATAGCTGCCATATATAACTTCGTCCGATTTACTATTTATTGTGCACCAAACGTCTAATATTTGTCCAAATGGGATGGAATTTGGCACATACGACCGAATTTAGTCTAGAAGGTAGTATGCCAAATTTGGTGAAGATCGGTTTAGATATAGCTATAGCTGCCATATATACTGTTCTTCCGATTTGTTATATATGTTACCCACAGCCGTAATATGCACTCTGTAACAACGATATTCTGGCAAATATATCGAATACAGCTCAGAAATATCTTTGCCAAATTTTATCGAGATCGGTTCCGATTTGGATATAGCTCGCATATATATTTTTATCCGATTTCAAATTAATTTTGTACCAAATGGACAATACAAGTCCGAATTTAAAAGATACAAATGCTTCGGCATATTTAGTCCTTTGAACTTTAAATTATAATTTTATTCATAGCGTTTTTGATTGAATTTTCCTATTAAAACATTTAATTGCTATGTGGAGCTCTACTAAATTAGCAAAGTGGTGGAGGGTATCATAAAGTCGGCCCCGACCGACTTATGAAATAGGTTTGCTGTTGAAGAAAACTAAAAATCCAAATCTATAACTGACCAAATTTTCCGTTTAAAATTATTTTGACAAAAGTTAATTTACTTTCCATTATCAAATCTAAAAAAATGATACTGCATATTGCTATACGAAAATAACTTCAATGGGGGGGCCAAAAATATTTTGTAGATTAACCACGATAATCGGTGCAATGTTTGGCTAAAGTTTCGAAGCGAGTGTTTCTACACAAGCACAATCTTTAAAGGGTCATTCAATAAAAATTATTTACGTCTAAAGAAAAGGAAATTAATTCTCTAACCCATTTTTTGAGTTACTTCAATAAAAACTGCCAGGCCTCCAGATGTTTTATAAAGACAACCAAGCTTGTCCATGGGTCTTTAGCCTTCTGATCAACCATCTTGCTTATAAAGAGTCTCTTTGCCTCAAATCCTCCAATCAGACCTACTGATTTTCTCCCTGGCTTCCAACACGTCCATGAAATTTTTCATTAATCGAAAAACCTTTCCTGAGCCTTCAATTTTAAAATGTCAAAGGCTGTCCAACATCCAACTTCTTTGTAAAGATGGCTTGGCCTAAAACTGGGAACAAGTCTTGAGTTCTTCCGTAAATATTTTCAGTTCTACAGGACATCCGTATAGACTTGTAGCCTTCCAACTTGTCGAAAAGAATAAAAAAAGAATTGTTTTTCTATCAAGACTCGTTGGACATCCAACTCCCCTATGGAGATTTGAAGGTCTCCAGACTTTCTATGAAAATTCTCTGGCATGCAGCAAGCTCATAACATTTCCGGGCCACCAACTTGTTCATAAAGTCAGATCGGTCTAAGGCTCTTCGTTGAGGACGGCCTAGTCTCCAACTCATCCATAATGACTGCCTGGCTTCCAGTTGGCTTACTCAGCCAGTTGGCTGGACTCACGGAGTCCAGTTTCTGTCTATAAAGACTACTATGACTTCAGTTTTTTTGGAAAGACCAAAAATTATATTTTTCTTTATAATAATCGATTCCTTTCAATTGATTTTTAACATGAATATTTTCCAAGACCATTTATATGGGAAAATGTATAAATGATGCTTTAACGCTCATTTTTTGATGATTTAAAAGAACTAAGAGAAATTAGACTGGCGAGAGAGCTCTTATTCTGCTTTAAAATGCGTCTCTCTGGCTCTTCAACTCTCTCTCTGGTTCGCCAAGTTTCTCCTGGCTTGACAACTTTCTTCTGGCTCGACAACTCTCACCTGGTTCGTCAACTCTCTCCCTGTTTTAGGCCCCGGCCAGTTGACAAGGCATCTCCCTGGCTCTTCAACGCTCTCCCTGGTTCGTCAACATTCCACTGGTTTTCAACTGTCTACTAGCTCGTAATCTATCTCGTGATTCGTCTTAAACTCTCTCCCTAGTTTGTCAACTTTCCCCTGGCTCATCAACTCTCTTCTGGCTCTTCTACTTTTCCCTGGCTCGTCAACTCTCTCCTGGTTTGTAAACTGTCTCCTGGTTCGTCAACTCTCTCCTGGCTCGTCAACTGTCTCTGTTTCGTCAACAATATCCTGGTTCGTCAACTTTTTCCTGATTCGTCAACTTTCTCCTGGCTCGTCAATTGTGTCCTGATTCGTCAACTGTCCACTGGGTCATCAACTCTCTCCTGTTTCGTCGTCAACTCTCACCCTAGTTTGTCAACTTTCCCCTGGCTCATCAACTCTCTCCTGGCTCGTCAACTTTCTTCTGCCTTGTCAACTTTCTCCTGGCTCGTCAACTCTGTCCTGGTTCGTCAACTGTCTCCTGATTTGTCAACTTTCTCCTGTTTCGTCAACTCTTTTCTGATTCGTCAACTTTCTCCTGGCTCGTCAACTGTATCCTGGCTAGTCAATTGTGTCCTGACTCGTCAACTCTCTTCTGGTTCGTAAACTCTCTCATGGATCGTCAACTCTTTCCATGGTTCGTCCACCCTCTCACTGGTCCGTCAACACTCTTCTCCACAAAGAGACTCACAGACAATTCAGCTCCACTACATAGACTCACTGACTTTTCAGATCCTCCAGCTCCTCTACGTCGACTCGCTGACCCATCAGTTCCTCAACACAGACTGGGTGACCAATCAGACCCTCTATAAAGATGCGCTGACCCATCTGCTCCTCTGTTTAGATTCTCTGACCCATGAGCTCCGCAACACAGACTCGGTGCCCATTAAGCTTCTTTACATAGACTTGCTGATCCTTCAGTTCATCTACATAGACTCGCTGACCCTTCTGTATGTCTACATGGGCTCGCTAACCCTTCTGCTCGTCTATGTAGTCTCGCTGATACTTCAGTTCACCTATGGAGATTCGCTCACTCTTTAGCTCATCTGTACAGTTTCACTGATTCTTAATTTTGTTTTTGTGGCTAGCTGACCCTTCAGCTCGTCTAGAGAAGCTTGCTGATCCTTAAGCTCCTCTAAGAAGGCTCTCTGACCATTCAGATCGCGTATGGAGGCTCGTTGACCTTTTAGATCGTCTTTGGAGGCGCGCTGACACTTCAGCTTATTTGTAGGCTCTAGCTTATCAATAGATACTATCTGTCCTATAGTAACCTATAAAGAATCCAGGGTCTCTAGATCTTCTATAAAGTTTTTTAAAATATATCCCATATTCTTTTCAGAAAAAGAAGCATGTGAACTTGTGGGAGATCCATTGGATGCGGAGTTTGCATCCTATTAAGATATGGCATCAATGTCAGTGAAACATGCCATTGCTGCGGCTAAGAAATTGAGATCGCTGCAAGAACGTTTTAACCCGGGAGGTTCTGATATTTATCCGTGAGTAAATTTAGCTTTTCAGAAGTGAAAAATTTTTTAAAATTTCGTTTTTTCCTAGAGCTCTGATGGGTGATGAAGCCATTACCGCTCTAATACCCAGTGGCAACCCTCTGAGTGTCCACATCCTTATGTTTACCAGGGCCCTCAGGGAACAAGGCACCGATGAGCAGTATGAGAAATTTGGTCGAAGAGCGGATAACAACGAGATTATTGGAACCTTTGCACAAACCGAATTGGGTCATGGCACCTATTTGAGGGGTTTGGAGGCAAGGGCTGATTATGATCGCGGAACCGAGGAATTTGTTTTGAATACACCAAAATTGTCATCGTACAAGTGGTGGCCTGGAGGATGTAAGTGGTATTAAAGTTCTTATATTTTTCGAATTTCTTAAGATATCTTGGATTTCCAGTGGGTCAAACTTGTAATTATTGCATTTTTGTGGCCCAGCTCTACATCGATAACGAAGCCAAGGGCATGGCCATGTTTGTGGTCCAGATAAGAGATGAAGAGACACACATGCCTCTGCCGGGTGTGCATGTAGGAGAGATTGGTAAGAAAATGGGTTTGAACGGAGTGAACAATGGATTCCTGGGCTTAAAGGATTACCGTGTGCCCCGCCTGAATATGCTGATGAGACATCAACAGGTCTTGCCGGATGGTAGGTTTGTTAAGAGCCCTGTATCACAGGTCTCATATTTCCCTATGGTATTTGTGCGATGTATGGTTGCAAGGCAAAATTCTAATTACTTAGCTCAGGCAGCCACCATTGCTACAAGGTATTCGGTTATACGACGTCAGAGTCCCATAGAGGAGGGGTAAGTGAAAAGATTCCTTCTAAGATCTAATTTTAACAAAAAAGAAAAAAAAACTCTCTACTTTCCTTCCAGGCAACCCGAGCCGAAAATCCTCGAACATTTGACCCAACAAATGAAAGTTATACCTGAAATAGTTACAGCCGTGGTCTATCGCCTGGCAGCCGCAAATTTACAAAATATGTACAATGAAACAGCAGAGGCTGTATATCGCAAGGATTTCTCTCGCCTTCCCGAGCTGCATGCCTTGGCTTGCATTCTCAAGGTTGCCACCTCGTATGATTCGACTTATGGCATAGAACGTCTACGTCAAGCATGCGGTGGTCATGGTTATTTAACAGCTGGGAATTTGGGTAATATTTTCGCCATGGCAGCCCCCGCCTGTACCTATGAGGGAGAGAATTCTGTGTTATATTTGCAAGTGGGAAAAATTCTCATGAAAAATTGGTCCCAAGTTTTGGCCGGAAGAGAACTCATGCCTAGCATGGCCTATATTTCGGAATGTTCAAAGATGACCAGTTTTCCCCAATGGACTGGGTCGTGGGAGTGTTTGCTCAAGGCCATACAATATGCCTGTGTGGGGTAAGTTGTGAGGTCTAAAGATTTGGACTTAAAACTTGAAGCAAAATTCCTTCCTCAGATCCATACGTCTGGCTTTCCAGAGCTACAATGCCCGCGTGCAGTCTGCCCAGAGCCAAACTGCTGCTGTCAACTACTCCGGTTTGGAACTTACCAAAGCTGCTGAACTACATGGTCGTTCCTATGTGGCTGGTAATTTTTATCAGCAGATTGTAAACAGCCCCAATAAACATCAGCGTTCTCCCCAATTCCAAAAGGTTTTGGAAAATATGTTGGAGTTACATTTGATCCAGATATTCTTCCGACATTTGGGTGATATTTTGAGGGTAAGTTTTTGGAGTTACAAGAATAAAAAATCCAAACTTATGACCTTTTTATTCCTTTGCAGTTCATTCGAATTACGGAAGATGAAATATCTGCGTTGCAACGACGTCTGGAAGAAGTTTTGAAGGAATTACGACCCGATGCTGTGGCCATAACGGATGCCTTTGATTTCAATGATAAAATTTTAAGTTCCGCCTTGGGTTGCTATGATGGCAACGTGTATGAACGCTTGTTTGAGGCGGCCCTAAAACATCCTTTGAACAGAAAATCAGTACCGGATTTCTTTGAAGCCCATTTGAAGCCATTCATGAAGGAAAATGCTGATAATGCTAAGAAATCGAAATTGTAGATTTTTTTTTTTTTAAATATAAAATAAATAAGACTACAACCTGTTCTTTGCATCGAAATATTGGTTATCAATTTTGTCTGTAAAATAAAAAAAAAATTAAAAAAATGCATAAAAAATTTCAAAAAAAAAATTTTAGAGAAAAAGTGGATATCAGAAAATTCTCTACGAAAAAAGTTGCTATCGAAGTAATTTTGTACCGAAATGTTTTTTATCGGATAATTTTTTGAAATATTTTTTATCGGGAAACTTTTTTTTTAGAAAATGTTGTCATCGGACAAATCTTTTATAGAAAACATTGTTATCGGACAACTTTTTTATTGAAAATGTTGTTATCGGACAACTTTTTTATTGAAAATGTTGTTATCGGACAACTTTTCTATAGAAAACGTTGTTATCGGACAACTTTTCTATAGAAAACATTGTTATCGGACAACTTTTCAATAGAAAACATTGTTATCGGACAACTTTTCAATAGAAAACATTGTTATTGAACAACTTTTCTGTAGAAAAAGTTGGTATCGGACAACTTTTCGACAAAGAATATTGTTATAGAACAACTTTTCTACAGAAAAATTTGTTATCGGACAACTTTTCTATAGAAAACACTGTTATGTATTGATAAAGTTGTTATCGGGCAACTTTTCTATTGAAAAAGTTGTTTTCGGACAACTTCTCTATAGAAAACGTTATTATCGGCAAAATTTGTTTTCGGATAACTCTTCTGTAAAAAAGCATTGTTATCGGACAATTTTTCGATAGAAACATTAGTTATCGAAAAACTTTTCGACAGGAAAATTTTTATCAATTTTTCGACAGAAAAAGATGTTATTGAACAACTTTTCGACAGAAAAAAAGTTGGTATCGAACAGAAGAAGTTGTTGTCGGACAACTTTACGATAGTAAAAGTTGTTATCGGGAAACTTTTCTATAGAAAACGTTGTTGTCGGACAACTTTTCAATGTAATAAGTTGTTATCGGACAGCAAAACATTTGTTTTCGGACTAATTTCCTATAAAAACATAGTTATCGGACCGCTTTCCTATAGAAAAAGATGTTATCGAAAATTTTGTTACAGAAAAAGATGTTACAACTAACTTTTGTAGATAAGGATACTGAAGACGTTGTAAGTTTTCTATAGCAAACGATGGTATCGAAAAATCTATTATAGAAGAGGCTGTTATCGGGATTTTTTTTCACCCTATAGGTTTCGTACAGAACAAGTTGTAATCAAACCACTTCTCTATGGAAAATCTTTAGATATTATTGGCATTGTTTAAATTATTTTCAATATCTTGGTTTGGACTTTACCCCTATCGATCGATATCGTTTGGAGAAAAAATTCAAACTAAAACTTAACGCAACAACCATAACAGTGGGCATGTATTAAACCTTGTTTGATGACATCTTTTTTCTCAATATTGAGTTTGACTCTTCGGATGCTACAGCATAGTTTGATTCGAAAAACATGTTTTGGAAATTTCAGTTCGGTATTTGTGAAATAAATATCTGTTCATATGATTAAAGAGTTTTGAGATGTCTTTCGAACTCTCTCTCTCAATCTAAATGCTAACGCCTAGAACCATAGACAAATTAAAGTATAGACTAAAAAGTTGTCTCATCTGTTATCTTCGAAAAAAGTGCTTCAATAGATGTCGTTCATGCTGTGAGAGAGCAAAAGTCTATTCACTCAATTCTCTCAAAATACAAAATATTGAATATTTTTATGATTCTTTATTATTTATCAATTAAAAACGAAACAGTGACTTTGTTTATTTTTACATTATCCAAATATGACGTGAAATATAAAAATATAGAACTTAAATAGCAAAAAATGAATAAATTGTTTTCGAAGTCGAGTGACTTCACTAGCCCTGAGTGACTTGACTGGCCCAAGATCAACAATAGTGACATCTGCCGGAAGGGGTAAATTTTAAAACTTTTTAGTCTATACCTTAATTTGTCTATGCTAGAACTCGTTTCAATGAATATTATCTCTGATTTAAATTTCAGGATTATCCCCAATGAGGTTCCTCCTTTTGACAATAATTTTTTTTCGATTTGGTCTAATACATCTGACATTGCATTGCTTCATTTTTTGACAGCAAGCCTATTACAGGGGTGCTCAAAACCGTGTTCTAGAACATGAAGAGAAAAAAGAGATAATTTAAGAGAAAATTAAAATTCTGTTTTTCTTTATATTTTACGGTTCTATTTAATTGTTTTTAAACACGAATGTTTGCCAAAATAGTTTATAAAGCAAATGGATAAAAATATTTGTATAAATAATGACTTAACACTGATTTGTTCTTGTTTTAAATAAGCAAAGAGAAATTTGACTGAAAAGAGATATTTCTTTTTGAGCACCCCTGCTATTATCAATATCAGCGGTGCTCAAGAAAAAATACTTCCTTTCAGTCAATTTTCTCTTTGCTTATTTAAATCAAGAACAAAACAGTTTTAAGTCATTATTTATACAAATATTATTTATCCATTTGCTTTATAAATTAATTTGGCAAACATTCGTGTCTAAAAACAATTTAATAGAACCGTAAAATATAAAGAAAAACAGAATTTTAATTTTCTCTTAAATTATCTCTTTTTTCGGTTCATGTTCTAGAACACGGTTTTGAGCACCGCTGCAATATGCATGTACATCGGTACATTGTTTTTATTTTCTCTATCAAATGCAATTATTTCTCTTTTCAGCAGCTGTTTTTTCATAAGCTTTTTTTTATTTCCCTCAGAAAATAAGCTTTTTTCTATTTGAAAGTTATTGGTACTCTTAAAGCTTAAATGTAAATATTTACCATAGGAAACCTGTTAGTCGACGGCGAGCGACAAACGCAACAAGACGAATCGAACGGGTCGAGTGCGACGCTAAGTGGTTGTGTTGAAATTATCGAAATTATTTTAGTGAAATTAATTTAGGAAAATAAAAATAAAACAAAATGAATACAATCGAAATTCCCAAAACAGTGAATCCTGATTTGGCCATTGAACGCAAAAATGCCAGCTTCAATCCGGATGAAATGGCCGCTTTCTTTTGGGGACGCAAAGAAATTGTCGATATGAAACGTATGATTGGTAAGTGGGTTACAAAAAATAATAAATCATATGACAACAACAACAAACAAAACTATAATGATCACAGAGTTCCACAAAGAATTAATGAAAGAGATGATAAGTGTGTTATCTGACATAAGAGCATGTTGTGAGAGTGTTTTTTTTGTATGAATCGATGCTCTTTGTTGTTATCTCTTAAGCGAAACGACCTTTTGAGGGTGGACATGAGAAAAATAATATATATAATAATAATAATAATATAATAATATCTATAATATTTTGCATTACAATTTCTATGTAAAATGAAATTAAAAACAAGTTTAAAAAAATACCAGTCGGTTTTGCTGACAGATGTATATTCTCAGCCAATATTCGGTTATCAAATTTTATTTGACACCTGTTACGATTATTCAAATTGTTGACACTCTGTGCCGTAGGTATCAAAGGAATAGACCAATATTTTCCATTTCCTGTCAGAACTAATGTGTCGCTTTTTTTGAGTGCTCAAAAGCTTGAACCTTATGTGGGGAAGGTACCAGAAGAAATGGTACGATCTCTATCATCTTTATAACAGATCTTGTGTTAATATAAATATTGATATGTAGCTAGTCTGAATGGTATCAGATGGCCATTTCGCGTTTTATAAGCTTCATGGATATTTAAAATTTTAACCCTTTGTGTGGGAGGCACCTGAAGGAGTTCGCAGATATATCCTTTTTTCACAGCAGATGTGATGAAATTTCAAGATTTTTTTTTCGGATTCAATGATCCTTTTGGTTATTTAAAATATTAACCCTTTGTGGGGGAGGTACCAGAAGAAATGGTTTGATCTATACCATCTTTATAACAGTTGTTATTTTAATAGAACTATTGAGGATGTTTATTTCATGTTTTATGAGCTTCATGAATATTCAAAATGTTGACACTTTGTGGGGGAGGTACCCGAAGGATTGGACAAATGTATTCCATCTTCACACCAGACCTTGGATTAATAAATATATTGTGATGTGTGTAATTTGAAGACAATCGGAATCTTACATCACATTTTTAAGGGTTACAATTATTCCAAATTTTGACCGTTTGTGAGGGAGGTACTTGATGGAGTGGACCGATATTGTCCATTTTTGCACCTGATCTAGCACTGACGCAAATATTAGGATTTGCAAAGTTGGAGCAAAGTCGGATTATCCTCTCTCTTTCTGTGCAGAATATATATTTCTTTGAAAATGTCGACCTTTTGTGGGGGAGGTACCAGAAGAAGTGGACCGATGTATTCCTTCTTAACACCAGGCCTTGGATTAATAAAAATATTGAGATGAGTGAAATTTGAAGACAATCGGACACTTACATCACATTTTATAAGAGTTGTAATTATTCAGAACTTTGACCCTTTGTGGGGAGGTACTTTATGGAGTGGACCGATATTGTCCATTTTTGCACCTGACCTAGCACTAATTCAAATGTTAGGATATACAAAGTTGGAGCAAAGTCGGATTATCCTCTCTCTTTCGGTGCAGAATATATATTTCTATGAAAATGTCGACCTTTTGTGGGGGAGGTACCAGAAGAAGTGGACCGATATATTCCGTCTTAGCACCAGACCTGGCGTTGATAAAAATATTGGGATATGTGAAATTTAAAAACAATCGGACTCTTACATCATATTTTATAAGAGTTGTAATTATTCAAAACTTTGACCCTTTGTGGGGAGGTACTTTATGGAGTGAACCGATATTGTCCATTTTTGCACCTGATCTAGCACTAATTCAAATGTTAGGATATACAAAGTTGGAGCAAAATCGGATTATCCTCTCTCTTTCTGTGCAGAATATATATTTCTTTGAAAATGTCGACCTTTTGTGGGGGAGGTACCAGAAGAAGTGGACCGATGTATTCCTTCTTAACACCAGGCCTTGGATTAATAAAAATATTGAGATGAGTGAAATTTGAAGACAATCGGACACTTACATCACATTTTATAAGAGTTGTAATTATTCAGAACTTTGACCCTTTGTGGGGAGGTACTTTATGGAGTGGACCGATATTGTCCATTTTTGCACCTGACCTAGCACTAATTCAAATGTTAGGATATACAAAGTTGGAGCAAAGTCGGATTATCCTCTCTCTTTCGGTGCAGAATATATATTTCTATGAAAATGTCGACCTTTTGTGGGGGAGGTACCAGAAGAAGTGGACCGATATATTCCGTCTTAGCACCAGACCTGGCGTTGATAAAAATATTGGGATATGTGAAATTTAAAAACAATCGGACTCTTACATCATATTTTATAAGAGTTGTAATTATTCAAAACTTTGACCCTTTGTGGGGAGGTACTTTATGGAGTGAACCGATATTGTCCATTTTTGCACCTGATCTAGCACTGACGCAAATATTAGGATTTGTAAAGTTGGAGCAAAATCGTATTATCGTTTCTCTTTTTGTGCAAAAAATATTTTTTGAAGATTTCGACCCTTTGTGGGGAGGTACAAGAAGGAGCCGACCAATATATACCATCTTAACACCAGACTTTGGGTTGATAAAAATATTAGGATGTGTGAAATTTGAAGACAAGCGGACACTTACATCACATTTTATAAGTGTTATATTTATTCAAAGTGTTAACCCTTTGTGAGGGAGGTACTTGATGGAGTAGTTCGATTTTGTCCATATTCGCACTTGACTTAGCACTAACGCAAATATTAGGATTTTCAAATTTGGAGCAAAATCGAATGATCCTTTCTCTCTCTCTCTCTCTGCAGTCAGATATTTTTTATTGGGGGAGGTACCCGAAGAAGTGGACCGAAATTTAATATCTCCGAACTCGGTCTTAGTTTGAAAATAATATTGCGATGTACCAAGTTTGGACCAAATCGGATACTCCGTTCGAGAGTTGCGCACTAGCCAGCTAGACAGACAGACAGACGATCGGACATCGCTAGATCGACTCCAAATGTCCTGAAACCAATTTGGTCCAAAGAGACCTAGCACGTTTTGGCCGTATTAAATGATATATATCCTCTCTCTAACCATATGACTAAAGGGTATAAAAATAGAGAAAATAAACCTTCATTCGGCAGAATTTGCTTTCAGGTCATTTGTATCAAAAATGGAATGGAATTTGTTTCGAATCGAAATAATTCTGATCACAAAAATTTTGACATATTTACATATTATTGTGTAGTGACAGGCCATGTTCAGTATGGCGCAATTATCTTGTATAGATCTTAATTATTAGAAACTTATTTTAATTTTCTATAAATCGATGACAGGCAATTAAAAAATAGTTTCTAATAATTTTTTATGAACATAAGTAACCACGGTCCCCTCACTGGACAAAGAAAATCTAATGAATTTCCAAAGTCCGATAGCTAAACATGGCTGAGTTGTCGTAGAGAGACAAACTAAAACGTGAATCGAAGCTAATGAAACAATCTATCCAATCACATTGGACATGCTAGATATATATGGGAATTATATTTGAAGTGACCAACGGTCAATATACGATTTTCGGTATATAGTTATATAAACTTTTTTTTCAATGAATACTCTGAGGCTTTGTGATTTCCAATACATATTAGAATACCACCCTGAAAATCACTGAATCATGTATAAAATTTAAATTTTGGTTTAATTTGTTAGGTGAGTTTCATTGAAGGAAACCAATTAAATTTAGTCATTCAGATGTGAAACAAAATTGGAATATTTCTAAAATTATAAAATCAAATAAAAAGGTTACAGACTAGAGTTTTCGTAGCACAGTGTTTCGGATTAGTATGTCAGTGGTAACAAATCTACAAACTCTCGATGAAAGAAGTATGTCAATTTTGAAATCTGACAACTCATTATTTGGCAGGTAATATTTTAAGCTATACTTCGATTTAAATTTAATTTCAAAATAGCTCTATAAACCATAATGGTATTATTTTATATTTAAATTCAGAATAAGGTACAGAAATTTAAAGCCGAATACATTTTTTATTCAGAGTATTTATTTTTCAATACTTATTTCTTAAAAAAAAATTGTTACTCTCAGTTATTTTTCTTCGACAAAGTTAGCCTCTTTTGACATGCCTTAAAAATGTTGGTCCAATATGAGAAGTAAATTGTATAATAGAAATAATTTTCGAAAAAAAGGCTGCAGTTTGTTTTTAAAGAAATATTCAAAAACTTTTATCTTTCAAATTAACAAAAAACAAGTAAAAAAAAAACATTAAGTTCGGCTGGGCTAAACTTTTAATACCCTCCAACTTAGGGTAAAGGAAACATTAGAAGAAATGTGGCAAAAACCATCAAAATACCGAATATCGGGAGGTATCGTTATGTGGGGGCTATATCAAATCATGGACCTATACATACAATGTTTCGCCAACAGAGCTAGAACCCATTATGACTACAAATTCCAATTTTAGACAAATCCGTGAAAAAATGTGGCAAAAATCATCAAATTACCGAATGGGGGTTATACCAAAACGTGGACCTATAATTACAATGACTCGCCACACGAATTGGGAACCATTATGATCTACAACTACCAATTTTCAGAGTAATTCTTGAAAAAATGTGGCAAAAACTATCAAAATACCGAATATTGGGAGGTACCGTTATATGGGGGCTATACCAAATCATGGACCCATACATGCAATGTTTTGCCACACGCACAGGGACCCATTATGACCTACAAGTACCAATTTTCAGACAAATCCGTGAAAAAATGTGGCATAAGTAATCAAAATACCGAATATCGGGTGGTACCGTTATATAGGGACTATACCAGAACGTGCACCTACATGTATTTTATTAATTTTAAGGACATTTTTCACGAGAATTGTTTTAAATTTGATATTTGAAGTTCGTAATGGATACTACAGCCTACGAGAGAAAATTGTCTATGCCGGTCCACGTCTTCGTATAGCCCCCATATAATGGTACCTCCCGATATTCGGTATTTTGATGATTTTAGCTACATTATTCATCGGAATTTATGTTTGAAAATTTGTTATTTGAAGTTCGTAATGGACTG